GGTAGTGTAGACTTTGACTTTGTGGAAATGGAGCAAGCTAATGCTATTACATATGTTTTTATTTATAAATATCTTTGCTTATATAAAGAGTACACAAATTGCCTAACAGAACCTTCTTTGAAATATACTGAATTAGAAGATTAAGTATTAAAATATTGTATGCATTATTTACACATAGACTATTGTTTCCATCTTTGTTGTGCCTTCAGGTCTTCATCAGCATGCAATTTAGGTTAAAGGCTCCAAGTTCTTCACTCAGAATTATTTCATGGGACAATAGCCTAGTAGATTAAAGCATTGCTTTGTGAATTTGGTGACTGTTGTAACCTAGGAAAGGTTACTGAATGAGGAATAACCAAAATGGAGGTTGGAAATAAAATGGTAATCTTTATAACATCAACAAAATACAATACTTGCCAGCAGCCTGGAGTAGGTAAACCACTGCTAGTGGTGAACTACTTAGGCAACATATTATCCCCACTTATAATAGTGTCCAACATATTTATGAGGATTGATGCATACCCTTTAGTGTTCATAGGTACAGTATATAACAGTGACATAATAATTACAAGTTCAATCCTTGAAATGGGCCAGGCAGTAACTAAGTTGTACTAAATAAGAACTAGACAACAGAATGTGAATAATCTCTGTCCATAGATTAAATAAAGGGTTCAGTTTGAAATTCCCTGAAGATTACTTGGATTGACAGGCACCTATTGGAGGCCAGAAGATACAACAATTCAAACATTGTGATAACAACAAAAATGAAGATATTAAACTGATTGTAAATAGTGATATCAATTTATTCCAGAAATTCAGACAAAATATTGTATTTTGGGAATTTAAACAAAACACACATACACATAGATGAATTTACTTTATTAAAGAATTGATAGACTATAAAATTTAGAATTACTGAAATCTAGTTATATATTTTATTTAATCTGTGAATTCAAAACCTAAATTCAATTCCTATTCCTTAAATACAATGTTTCATGACTCATCATAGTTTTTTTTTAATCATTTCACCCCAAGCAAGGCAATAAAGACACTAAGATGCTAGGTGTTACTGAATGTTAAGAAATATAAGAAAATATACTATTAAGAAGACTGAAATTAACAATTAACATTGTATTAAAATTTTTGAAGATCAAAATTGACAGGGAAGCAAGGATCTGGAAGAGAGTTCCAGAAGTACAATAGAAGAAACTGTTAGCATAGAACTTTCAGGTATATCTAGCCATTTCAAGTGTAAAATGATGAGACCTTGCTGACAATCTAGTACTGCACTTAAATTCATAAAGTCTAGGTACCATAGAGGAAAGTTCATCAAAACAATTACCACAAAAGTATTTATAGAGAAGCCACAGGGAAGCTACATTACAGTGGTGGGAAAGTGACTGAAGCTGAGATGACAGGTCAGGACCAATAATGTTGCAAATTCTTTGGATTTTATCAAAAATCTCTAAATATATAGGAGGAGCACCAGATCATATTTTGCAGTGATATTCAAAGAAAGGACAAATGATAGACTTATAAATATGTAAGATTCTAGCAAGAAAAATTGTCTAGCTTGACACAGTAAATCAACTTTCCTAGCTGCAGAATTAGCAATCATTTCAATATACTCTGTCCACTTCATATCAGTGGGAAATGTTAGTCACTCTCCTGGAGGTTAACATCAGCCTTGTTGATGGATGGTAAAAAGAGTTCTCTCAGATGATTAAAATAGATCAGTTTCATTCTGAGGCGTTAAAATTAACAAGCCACTTCTTATCCCATTTAACAACAGATTGTAGGTCATTTTTTAGATCAGCTGACCTTATTGAATCACTCAGACTTACTAGTAAGACTGGAGTAAATAGTTGTATCATCAGCATAGATACCAAGCTGAGAACTGATGACATCAGGAAGTTCATTTATGAAAAATTAGGAACAATGTAGGTCAAAGGATAGAGTGCTGGGGGACACCCGCATTCATGCAAAAAGATCTAGAAGAGTGGCCATTCAAGACAACTTTCATTTTGTGATTTGATAAGAAAGACTGAATTAGTTCAAAAATTCATCCAGAAATGCCATAACCTTTCAACTTGTGAATGAGACTCCTATGCCAAACCCTGTGAAATGCCTTTGAAATGTATCCAAAACAACAGCCTGAGCTTCAACATTCTTATCTGAAGCTTGATAAACTCTTTCAGCAATAATCATTAGAGAAGTGAAAGCCTTATTGCTTATCTGAAAAAAGACCCTGTGATATGACATGCATAACCAATTTACAGTTAATTAGAGCCTCTAGCACTTTGCCAAAAAGCAGTTGTTAGAATGATCAGATGGTTTGTCTGTGTTCTTAAAGAACTACAGAAGAAGATTTCCAACAAGCAGGAAAGCAGGCAGCAAAGCATTGTAGAGTTTAGAAAGACCAGGTGCATGTTTCTCAAGGACTATTGCAGTTCACATGCTTTGTGAGGATCTAGTTTAGAGATGATAGCAGAAACCATGGAAGATGTTATATGAATATCACTCAATAGAGACTCATTTTTAAGTGGAAAGTCAGGCAAAGGTACTCCAGATGAATCAAGAATTTGAAGAGAATTTACAAGTAAAACATTCTGCTTCATTAGCAGATGATATTAACACTTCAAATTGAGTGAAGAGAGGAGGAATATAAGAATTACTCTTATTTAATACACTATTTTAACTTATTTTAAATATATCTAAACTGTGCATTGCCATGACTATGATACAATAACTGGTGTCAAAGATAGACTGGCAATCTAATTTATATTTCTAAAGAAAAAATATTTTCATGTTAAAACAATGTGATACTGTGAATTATCTGGTTTGTGTCATTTATAGAGTATAGTGGGAGAAGTGAAATTGTAAGTTTGGGTGGGATTGGCCATTTGGTACAGTCTTAGGTCTGTTTAACTTGAGTGTTAATTTTGATGAAGGAAATGTTCATTGGAATGAGTAATATAAAGCAGATCTTAATAGGTTAGTTTTGATCTGGAATATAACACACTTTCAGATAGAATTGATAATGACACTTGTGATAATCAGGTCAACTGAGGGTGAGATTCTGGTGTATGTAAAATGTTCCACTGAAGATGGATATGGGCAATATCAAGGCCACCATTTTTGATTGGCTAACCAATGAGAGAAGGGCTGGGATGGAGCTTCTTCTCTTGCTCACCGATACTTATGACACAGGGCCATTATTTTTATTGGGCCTCCAATTATATTGGGTTCTTGGGAGTCTTTCTTTCTTCCCCTTCATGGTGTATGATACAAGACCATCAGTCAAGCATTATTATTGGCTAGCCAATACTATTGGTCAAGCATTATTATTGGCTGGCCAATCATAGCAGTGAAATTGGGGTATGCACCCCCACAAAAAGCAGTCGCTGAAAGAGCAGAGAAGTAAAATTGTACTGGTCATGTTACTAGTAGATCAACACGCCCTTCCAGATGATCGTGGTGCCTCAAACAGTTCTCTGCACTGCTTTTTGAGTTCTCTCAATCAGCTGCCTTCATTTAAATAGTTGAACGACTCTGGGCTGTTTAGCCAGAACTACAATTGCCAGTCAACCTTTTCCTCCTAGCTTAAGAATTCCTTATATGGGGCAATTTCTACAAATCCCTTTTGTTTACGTATTTATGGGCTTAATCAATCATATTGCCATAAATAAACGTTATTTTTACACCGGTTAATGAGTGTTGCTGAAGTTAATTAAATTTCAAGAATAACCAGGACAGAGGAGTCAAGCCTGATCTTTGACAGTTCTTCACTGATATTCCTGTATATACTGAAACACAATGTGGGGGTGCAGGATTGGTGCAGAACAAGCTTGTTGGAGACATACCAACAGCCATAGATCAGAGTAAGAGTAGAATTCAACAAAGCACGCAGCAATAGTGTTATTGTTCTTAGAAGAGTTGAGTGGTTTCCTGTTACCTTCTCCACAGTTTTTAATTGTTATTCTTGACAGATTTCCAACCAAAGCTGACAATCCCAAAATCTGCTTTGGTATTTAACTGATAGTTGGAAAGAGAAGAGATTTATACCCCCACCCCAAAAAAAGGCATTAGTGCAGACTAAAAACATTGTCACAGAAGAATTTCGAACTTGGTTCACCAATTTTATTCTCTTTATTGTTAATTGTTTACTTGTACATCCCAAAAAAATTGTGTTGAAAAAAAAAAAGAAAAAAACAGCAATCCTTATGATTTCTTTGTTATTTTTAAAGTTGAACCAACACATATGACTTTATTAAAGGAGCCATAATTTCTCTTGTACATTATTTCAATTCTTCATATTTTTCTTGCTTTGATTCAAGTATTTTTTTGTTGGGGTATCTTGGTCTCATAAGTTACTTAAAAACATAATGAGATTCATATTTTGGGGAAACAAACTGCCTCTGATTCACTTCCTTTATCATTTACAGAGTTTCCAGACTTTTTCATAAAATGTATCTTTATTGCAAATTTTTAGTCCACTTTTGACTTTTTTCACATTACATTCATACCACACTAGACAGAAATAATATTTACTAAACATCTGTGTTAAAAAATGCCTTGGATTAGTAGAAATTTTTTTATACCAATGATTTTTTCAACCATTGTCTATCCTCAGAATTTTTACTTCCTACCCCCTCTTACATTCATATCAGTAACCCTCTGCCTTGAGTGGCTCTTGAGCCTTGTATTGAGTGAACTTTAGAAGATAAAATGATTTTTCTTAAACAGAAGACTGAAACTTTTGGGACGTTTGTAATATTTAATGCACTTGATTATGAATTCAAATCTGACAGACCATTTCATTGAAGAAAACTCAATCTCTTCCTAGTTTTTGAAATGCTTTGTAAATCTCAATTTAACGTTAGTTACTACTTGTTGATAGTGATGCTTATTTCTGATGTTAAGTTTACTTTATTTCTGCTTCAAAGACTTCTCCAAAACAATAAAATTTACTTGAGTTTTCTTCTGATTTTGTGTTTTAGTTGCAAGAAGAAACATTTAGTGATGATGATGAAGATGATTTTGAAAATGGAGAATTTGAAGAAGAAACTGATTTACCTTTGAACTACAAACAACTGACAGTTCATATGAAATCTCCTCGTGCAGATGCACTTCTCAGTACTGGTCTCAACCTCTCAAGAGTGTAGGTATCCTTAATTTTATATATTTCACTTCAAAATAATTTGCCTTGACATAAGGGAAACTCACAATCTTGTTCAATATCAGCTTTAAGTTTGTTCATTTTTATTTCAACATTTAGAGTTAATTTTTGTGAACGCCGTCCTTGGTGAAGTTATATTATTAAATCTACTAATAAGCTAGTTAACAAAATAGTCATTGATACACACAAGTATTTTGTTTTATATTAAACTTTTTCTGTATAATTGCTTATGGACTTGAGAAGCAAACATAATCTACAAGTTGCAAATAAGTAAGATCCATACATGAAGTGGGTTCAAAAATTAATAGGCCAACACAGCTATTGGCTGAATTTTCATTAGATAATATTCTATTAATGAAGAAGCATTAGGTTAAGTGCCTTGACAAAGAGGATTATGTTGTGGTGAGTAAATAAATATTTGCTGTGCAAGGATTTTGTTCTTGAGTTCTGGACTGACTGACTTATTTACACATATAAGAGAAAAACTAAAAATACTTTTTGATTGCAGAGCAAAAATGTTCTTATTTAAAATCAAATTTTAATGTTCTTTCTAATTCCATCAAAAATATAATTTTGAACTCAAATGTTTAAATCTTAAATTACTTTAAAATTAATGAAATAACAGACTTTTCTGAAAATGCTGCTAGGAAAGATGAAAGAAAATTCCTGTATGGATGATGTCTTGGTGCATGAGAAAGCCATATCTGCAGAAAAGATTGTAAGTCATCCAGAAACATTTGGCTTAATAGCAGCGCCATTTGTTGACAGGAATGGTGGCATTGATGCTTTACCTGAATAAAGATAGAGCAGGCATCCTGGTGTTACTGAGTGTTAGAAAATATGATAAAAATATACTATTAAAGGGAGAGGACAATAAAAGAACAAAAATTAAGACAGAAGATAACGATTGACATTGATTTTCAAAAATTTAAATGCAAAGTTGACAGGAAAGCAAGAAGCGAGTTCCACAAGAAAAGAAACTGTTAGCATAGAAGCTACGCTTACATCTAGCCATTTCAACTGTAAAATGATGAGACCTTGCTGCCAATCTAGTATTGCTCTCAAATTCATAAAGTCTAGGTATCATAGAGAAAAATTCATCAGAACAATTACCATGAAAGTATTTATAGAAAAGGTACAAAGAAGCAGCATTCTGGCAGTGGGAAAGTGACTGAAGCTGATGTGCTAGGTTAGGACCAATAACATTGCAGATTCTTCTTTGGATTTTATCAAGAATCTCTAAATATATAGCAGGATCACAAAACCAGATGTGGCAACAATATTTAAAGAAGGAGAAATAATATTCCAATGATGGGAAATAACATGAGTAAATTGTTTTCTGTCTTCAGAAAACTGGTAGGCAATCATAGAATGCCATTGCAGATAAGAAATGATTTTAGACTTGCTACTTGAATTTTATACCAACAATTTTTTTAATGGTTATTCATTTTCTTTTTCTTGGACAGAAAAATTGATTCCATGTTCTATGCTGGTAAACTGCTTCACAACGACAAACCATTAACCAAGAAAAGTAAAAATGTAAGTATAATTACTCTTGTTTTTATGTAAAACTAGCTGAGGTACCCAGTGTTGCCTGGGTATACATGGCTGCAATTGTATAACTGCACCTCCCTGTATACCAATACACCCTGTCTACAAATTTCTGCTTGTGTCCCTGTTAGCATACATCAGTGTTTGATTGTTCTTAAAGGAATTCCATCGATAAAACCTTCTTGTGTGGTCATTGCTTAGGGTTAAATTGTTTCAATGTTTTAGATATTCAGTAAATTTTTCTTATGGCCGTAAATGGCCATAATAACTTTCAGATGTGGCATTGTTCACAAATCTAATAATCAAACAAAAACAGGGATGAAGTGTCAAAGCTTGATTCAACTGCAAGTACAAACGCATGAATGCCTTTCCCCTTCTTTGCATGTTTACTGTAAAGCTGGGATTAAGGTTGTTCAGGAATTTTTCCCTTTTAATGCTTCAATAATCCTTCTCAAACAATCTTTGCATCAAAGGTTGATTGAATGCCAATTTAGGATGGAATCATATGAAGAAACTATTGGCTAAATGGCAAAAGCCGATTTTGGACCTGGTTTGTTGCAGATTTCATCCACTTAACTGAAATAATCTAAACCAAACATTCATCCAAGGCAATTTGTGTGTCATATGTAATTTACATGGCAAATTTGGAAAGCATCGGATGAAAAAACAGGAAGTTATGGCCCAAAAATGGGCTTTTTGAACAATTTTTCATAGTTTTTTTGTTATACGCAGGGAAGCAAGCAGGACTAAAACCACACTTTCTTATTTCTTGCATGATGGCAAATTTTTTACATCTTTGAAGAAAATCAGATAAAAAAATGAGTTATTCAAGTTTTTAAGATTTTTTTCACATTTTTTCACAATTTTTTTGTGTGAAGACAATGTTGCAGGAAAACTATCAAGCACTCTACATAAACCTTATAACATGAGCTATGTTTTGCATTAGGTGCAAAGAACGTCAGCACATCCAGCAAAAATTTTGTTTGTGTATAACTTTGCCTTGGTATTTGCAAAAAGTTGTACCCATTTTCAGTTTTAGAGATTTTTCTGCCAAACTCTGGGGGCCTGGAGAATGAAAAGTTGGTCTTGACCTAACTTTGTAAATTTGCAATATGTGTGTAGAATTTCATTGAAATTAGTTGAGAAATGTGGACGCATATTAATAACATACACACCCACAGACAGATGCATATTTTCTGTTTTATAGATATAGATTACTTTTTTCAGTTATCACAAGTTTTTTTAAAATTTGAAATGTCAATCAATGAGTAATAATAAGGATGCTGCACAATATTTTAAATGTCTTTCAAGAGAAACCCATTTTAATTACATTATTACTGCTTTAATTTACTAATCTAAAAATATTGTCTTTGTTTGATAAAAATCCAAAAGGCACTTTGCCAACCATTATTTCTGATGTAAATTTAATCAGATTAAATTACATTTTTAAAAATTTTTGCTGGTCTAAAATCTGAACTTATCATTAGCTGTCACTTGTTTAAAAATTTTGTTTTTTCTTTTTTACTCTTACCTCTTCTACAGGTGAATGAAGGAGACAATGTGGACTTAATAATGGAAGACAGTGAAATTGTCAAAGTGAAAAGAGTGAAGGTGTTGAAGATTTCATCAGAAAAAACCCAGACAGATAAAATTTGTGTTATTCTTCGAGTATGGCGGTCACCATTTTCTCTTGAATCTCTTCATGAAGAATCATAACATATATATATATAAATAAATAATAAAAAATAAAATTACCACAATATTTGAAAACTTCCTTAAAAACAGAATACTTAGAACCTTCCTGTTTGGTTTCAATGATTTCCTTTAATAAAAAAGAAATTGCCTTTTTTTGTTTTTCTATCTCTAGGATTTTATTTTTAGTAAGTACTAACTTCCAAGTTGAATACTTTTCCAATCCTCTGAGACCTGCAAACTTTTTTTAAGCTTTTATCCCAAGCAAGGCAGGAGTGCCACTAGCACACAAGGGGTTACAGAGAGTGAGAGCAAGATTAAAGAGTCATGAAAGAGGAAAGGATGAAGAGAAGGACAGGGAATAGATCAAGGCATCTGGAGATATTGATTGACATTGCATTTGAATAGTTGGAGATTATAGCTATCAGGGAAGCAAGTAAGAGGAAGGGAGTTCCACAGGCAGGAAGTGCAAAACATGAAGCTATTGGAGTAGAAGAGATGGCTACATATAACCGTTTTGACAGTGGGACTGAGATGCCAACCTAGTAGCATGTTTAAATTCATGTAGTTTGGGAACTAGCGAAAGTAGCTCATCAAAGCAGTTACTGTGAAAGTATTTGTAGAAAAGACAGAGGGAAGCGACAACATGTCTGTGAGAGAGTGATATCACATTCTTGTTTAAACCAAATGTTATTTTTTTCAGACAATTGAGTCTTTTCTTAGTGTCATTAATGTTTCTCACACTTTGACATTTCAACTGTTCCATTCTATGGTCTTCTCCAGGTGTATGGAATAAAGAATCACTTTTTCAATAACAAACACTTTATTCCATACATATGAAGAGAAACAGACTGGAATGGGCAAAATGTTGTATGTGTGTGAACACTAAAAAAAATGTTCTTCGGTAAATTTTTGTTAAATTCAGAAAGCAAAGCAGATATTCTCATTTGAACAATAAACACAGCTGCAATTTGTTCATCTGATATTTATCAAAAAATTCCTTAATTGGTTAAAGAATTTTTCTTTATCAAAAACTGAAAATTTGCTTGATAGGTTCTAACAACAAAGAAAATTATTTTACAAATGACAAAAGAACAGTATATAATAAAAATTTTATTTGCTCACATTTACAAATGCCAGATTTTGGAGTCAAATATTTTGCTGCCATTTTACATATGAAATATTAAAAAAATTGCATTGGCTAAATGCAAAGAATTTTCTTTATGTAAAATATAATTCAAAATGGTAAACTTTTTCAATTGATAAGTTAAAAAAAACTAAATTTTACTTTTTGGATTGAATAAAATATGAAAAAAATTGTTTTACCTCCTTTTGGCTAAAAGTAAAACTAATTTGATTCAAATTTAGACAAAAAAAAAAAATGACAATTATAATGATGAAAACCCCAGTCCAAACCAAATCTATTCAAAATTAATTTTTCCAAAAAACAGTCTAAAAAAATCTCTTATGGAATTTGTAGGAAATAAACAAAATATTTGGTCAATTTCTGATTTGACATTTTTCTTAAATCTATTGTGAATTTCTTAAAGTACATTTACCAAACATTGAAAAGATTAAAAATCATTTACTAAGTAAAAACTAAGGAGATACTTGGATAAATAATAAAATATAAATTAAAACTTTTTCTCTTGGAACAATTAGCTGCCAGACAAAAATAAAAATTATGCAATGACCTGAATTCAGTCAATGCTTTTTTTCTTGATTAAAACGTGTAAGATTTCATTTCAGATGCATCTGTAGAGGAGAGAAAAAAATAATAAGAATCAGTTTATTTTGTACTTAAAATTCCTATGAAAAAGAAAACTGTAATTCAGTCTGGTATCATTTTCTACATTTTATAAAAATCTATGTCAGATGAATGTTGATGAAATAAAAACAATTTACCTGCAAAAATTGTCCAATAAAAAATTTTTAATTTTTTTACAATTGTTTTACAACTAAGCTTCAAAAGAAATTAATATTAATATTTTGGAAATTCTTATATTAGAAAATATTTTAACAGTTTATACATGCCATTTGATATAAAGCATAATAAACATTAACATTGCTTTTTATGAAATTTGAGAATCCAAAGTTAAATATAACAACAGACATTTGGTAAATCTCAAGTGCATTGCAATTATAAGAGTTAAGAAAATAGCAAGAATTCTTAAAAATTCAAGTCATATTCATCTGAATACAAAAGGTATACTGTTATTACAAAGGTTTTTACCATCACTTTTCTTCCAAGTTGGATTAAAGTGCTTTTTGATTGATTTCCAACACTGGTAATATTCATGGTCAACTTTTTGGCACGTGTCATTTCCCCATTTGGTAATTGCCATACTCAGTGAAGATTCAAACATAAATGCCTACCAAAAAGAGAAAAAAAAAATAATGAAACAAAAGCAATGCTTAAGTATAACACTTTGGATAAAATAAATGCAAAAAAATTTGGGGTTTTTACAGATGCAAAAAGAAATTGCTAACAAAATCATGGGTTTGGAGACAGTTATTTTCAAAAACAAAACCAGAAATAAAATCTTAACTGGAAAGACAACAAAATAAATGACAGAAACTAACAAATGCAGAAAACAAAGATTTTAATGTTAAAGTCAGAATTTACCAAAACATTAGGTAAGTTTTGTGGATCAAATTTTAAAATGAAAAGGGTAAATTAATTGCAACTCATCTCCCTTCAATTGCATATAATAAATTATTTTGAATGATATAATTAATTCTTATTATGAGTACAAATCTTAAGTTCTGATATATGATCCTGTACAGTATTTAAAAAATAGAAGTAGAATATAAATATTTGCAACCTTCAGCAAATTCCAAGGACTTTTTGAAATATTGTGCAACTGAAGAGATTATTTTTTAATATTATTTGATTGCTCATTAGACAAAAACTGACCATAGTGCCTTCTGCAATTTTCATTGGATTTAGTTCCATTGTAGAATTTTTCTCAAAGCATTCAAAATCTGGTCCATGGGGAGTCATCATGCTGTGAAGAGTGGCACCTCCAGGAAGGAAACCAGATTCCTATAAAGAAGACTACAAATTATTAGGTTGGTGCAAAAATAATGTCGTTTTTGACATTGAGTTGGACATCAAAAAACGACATTATTTTTGCACCAACCTAATATTTGTTGAATAATTTACACATATTTTAGTGATTGTCACCTATTTAAAATTCAATCTCATTTGCTAAGTAGATGGCAAATATTAAAAGGTAAACATTTATGAATGCAGTGCATAGAATGTTTCAAATTTGCAGAGAAAATATTGAAAAAATTTAAGAACTCATGTGTTATTCACTTGTCTTATGAAAATTAAATTTAAAATTTCAGAAATATTGTCATTTTCTACTCAAAATATTACAAAAAGTATTTCATGGTTTTACAAATTAGGACTTTAAATGTCTTTATTTGAAAAAATGAAAGTTAGCATTAAAAGTTAAAATGTAAAAATGAAATTGTTTTTGTAAGCATTAGATTTTCTTTTACTTAATTAAAATGATCCTTTGATCAGTCCTTTAAATTCAGACCCATAAATTCAACATTAATTAAAAGAATTTAAAACAATCTTTTCAAGTAAAAAGAAAAAATGTTTTTACTATATAGTGTTAGGAAATAAAAGTTATCTGAAAAAAAAAAAAAAAATCTCTCTGCAGATTTTTTCCAATTATTTAGATTTATTTACATAAGATTTGATTTCACATATTTTGGAGTCATAACTTTTTCCCATGCTTCTTTTGCATGACAATGTCTTCATATGATGCAATAAAAATACTTTTGCTTCCAAAACCTTATTCAAACATGTTTGATGTTTTATTCTTTTGTGAAGAGCTTTTAATTTTAAAAGGAAATTTGTTTTAACAAATGCTTTTTTTTAATGTTGAAGATAGCTCAATATCTTTTAAAAATTTAAAATTTGGGGATTGTGGAAAATTTTTTTCTTTGCATTGACAGAAATTCCAAACTTCAGAAGACATTTTCTTTAAAGTTGCCAACTACCCACCCACCACCACTTTTGTTTTTAAACCAATAAATATGATTGACTTTAATGGATAAGTTAAATTTATTTATTTTATGAGCAGACATTTTAATCTCATAGTTTTAAGATCTTTATGTTAATGAGTACTTTTTTTACATTAGGATCAAATTTTTGTTTATGCATGATTTCATAGCAAGTAAATTCAAAAGAGTCTTGTATTTTATGACAGAAATTGTTGAAGAATCATTTTGAAAATACAGGTCGGCACCAATAAACCATGGTAGTTGGGGTTCAAAACATCTATCCGCAGTTTAGATCAAAAGTGATCATTGTATTGTAATGTATTAATAAAAATAATATAACAATACAAAGTAGTAACATCTATGTACAAGCACAGCTTTCTATGCAATGTAATGATACAATACAAATTTTATGAAATCAATATGAAACAACATTTTTAATAAATTTACATGTACATAATGGAAAATAAAAATAAAGTTCATAATAACACTTTATTTAAAAAAGTCTGTAATGGAGAGTTGCTTCTTGTTGTTGTCAAAATGTCTGTGAATTGCTAATCCAAACCACTACACAATCATGAGTGTGAAATGCCAAAGCCTAAACAATAGTAAATGCCTGGGAAAATACGGATATATGGAAAGTATTAAAACTTAATTTAATGATTTTATTAAAATAAAAGATTATATAGAAAAAAATCAAACATTAAAAAGTGTCACAATCAAGTTTGAATTTGTTTCAAATTGGGATCCACTGATGATTATGATTCTAATATGAACATGACAAAAAATTTGGGGGCCCATCGTGCATACGCAGCTTAAACGACATTGTGGTTTATTGGTGTGCGGCTTAATGGCACTGACCTGTATATAATGAAACTACATCTGCAAATTGCACAGAAATAACTGAGAAATTAAAATGTCTTTCAAAATAAAAGTGTAAAATGGTGAGAGAAAGAAACTTCTTAAGCATTTGTAAATTGATGTCAACAAAATTAAAATTGGTT